GCCCCCAATTCTCTCTGCCCTCAGTCCCCTCCCACTCGAACTCTCCTTTCTCAAGCCTTCCCATCCTCTTTCCCCTCAGACCCTTTATAACCCTCCCCCTCAGACCCCACATCCTCTCCCCACTCAAGGCGCCTCTATAACTTCCCCCTCAGGCCCTTCATACTCTTCCTCCTCAAGCCTTCCATCCTGCCCCCACCTCAGGCCCTCCCATCCCCCAGGGCCCTCTGTTCCACCCCCTAAGGCTTCCTTCACCTCCCTTCTCTTGAGCCCTCCCTTCATCTCCCTCCTAAGGTCTTCTCAATATCTCTCTCAAGCCAACTCCATAGATCTTTCTCTCAGGCCCTTTATAACCTCCTGCCTCAGGTCCTCCAGCTTCTTCACCATTAGTCCCAAACAATGTTTCCCCCCTTGGGCCTTACCACTCTATCCCCTGGGCTATGCCCCCCAGCCCTCCGGCACCTTTCCATCCTCTGTCGGCCCTCCACGTTCTTCCCAACTTAGACCCTCTCTTCCTCTTCCCCATCGGACACTCCCCTCATAACCACATATAGACCCACTTTCACACCCTACGGTGCTGCCTACAGGCTTCACCTCTCCAGCCTCAGTCAGAGAAGGTGTAGGCCTACCTATTATATCCCAAGGGAGGGCAAGTTCTAAACAAGTGGTCACCTGAAGTAAGGAGGATTTGAGATGAACCCCCATCTCACCAAGTTTTCGAGAAGCCTGGAGATGAAGCCTTGCCTCCTCGAATTCTCACGGAGCCCAGAGACTAAAGCCAAATCTCCTTGAACTCTCGCAAAGCCCGAGACAAAGCCAAGCCTCGTTGAGCTCTCACAAGGCTCAGACACAAAGCCTCATCTCGTCAAACTCTCGCGAATCCAGAGACAAAGCCCCGCCTCCTTGAATTCTCGCAAGGCCTGGAGACAAAGAATTCCTCGAAATCTCATGTAGCCCGGAGACTAAGCCTCTTCCCATCAACTCTCGTAAATTCGGGAGACGAAGCCTCACCTCGTTGAACTCTCTCAAAGTCCAGAGACGAAGCCTTGTCTTATTGAATTCTCGTGAAGCCTGGAGATGAAGACTTCTCGTCGTACTCTCGCGAATCCAAGAGGCAAAGCCTTGAGACGAAGCGTCGTCTCCTCGAACTCTCGCGAGACGGGAGATGAAGCCTCCTCTCGCCAAACTCTCGCGAGACCGGGAGAAAAAGCCTTGTCTCCTTGAAGTCTCGCGAGGCCTGGAGACGAAGTCTCGTTTCCTCGAACTCTCGCGAGTCCGGAAGACAAAGCCTCGTCTCCTTAAAGTCTCGCGAAGCCTGGAGACAAAGTTTCATTTCCTGTAATTCTCGCAAGTCCGGGAGACGAAGCCTCGTCTCATCGAATTCGCGCACATCCGGGAGACGAAGCCTCGTCTCCTTGAACTCTTGCGAAGCCTGGAGACGAAGCCTCGTCTCCTTGAACTCTCGCGAAGCCAGGACATGAAGCCTTGTCTCGTTGAACTCCCACCAATCTGGGAGACAAAGCCTCGTCTCCTCAAACTCCTGCGAATCCCGGAGACGAAGCCTCGTCTCCATGCTAATTCTCGCGAGTCCGGGGACGAAGCTTCATCTCCTCGAACTCTCGCGAGGATGGGAGATGAAGCCTCGTCTCCTTGAACTCCCGCGAATCCAGGAGACGAAGCCTCATCTCCTTGAACTCTCGCGAAGCCAGGAGATGAAGTCTCGTCTCCTCGAACTCTCGCGAGTCCGGCAGATGAAGCTTCGTTTCCTTGAACTCTCACGAAGCCTGGAGATGAAGCCTCAGCTCGTCAAACTCTTACAAGTCCGGGAGACGAAGCCTCATCTCGTCGAACTCGCGCAAATCCAGGAGACGAAGCCTCGTCTCCTTGAACTCTACCGAAGCCTGGAGACGAAGCCTTGTCTCCTCAAACTCTTGCAAAGCCGGGAGATGAAGGCTCGTCTCCTTGAACTCTCGCGAGAACGGGAGACGAAGCCTGGCCTCCTTGAACTCTCGCGAAGTCTGGAGACGCAGCCTCGTCTCGTTGAACTCTCACTAATCCGGGAGACGAAGCTTCGTCTCCTTGAACTCTCGCGAGTCTGGGAGACGAAGCCTCGTCTCGAACTCTCGCGAGTCTGGGAGACAAAGTCTCGTCTCCTCGAACTCTCGCGAAGCTGGGAGACGAAGCCTCGTCTCGTCAAACTCCTGCGAATCTGGGAGACAAAGCTTCGTCTCTTCGAACTTTCTCGAATCCGGGAGACGAAGCCTTGTTTCCTCGAACTCTCACGAAGCTGGGAGACGAAGCCTCGCCTCCTTGAACTCCTGCAAATCCGGGACGTGAACCCTCGCCTCTTTGAACTCTCACGATGCCCAGAGACTAAGCTGCTTCTCCTCGAATTCTTTCGAATCCGGAGACGAGGTCTAGCCTCCTTGAATTCTCGTGAAGCCCAGGACGAAGCCTCATTCTGCTAATTCTCGCAAAGCCTGGAGTCAAATCCAATTCTCGTCGAAATTTCATGAAACTTTGATAGGAAGCCTCTAATATAAGCCTTTGGGGCCATTCATATTTCCATAACCTGTTGGAGTGTGGAGGATATCTGGGGAAAGCTCCTCTCCCCAGACTTAAGGAAATCCTCCACAATGTTAAGAGTATTTGAAAGAGTGTAATAGGGCGAGGAGTGGTCAGAAAATATTTAGAAGCAAGGAATCTAAAATATTCCTCACCACTTACAAAATGTCCCATCTCACAATCATAATGGTTTGTCCCGCACCAAGGTTCCCACTGCTTCCTAAATTGGTCGAAGAAGCCTTGGGTTCATCTTGGAGAAAAGGTGAAGAAATGGTTTTCACGTAGGCTCCCAGAAACTAATACTGTGGCTTGCCTAAATGGTCATAAATCTTGAGTATTTTGAGACTCACTTCATCCCTATCACCTGGTTCAGTTCTTGCTCTCATTTCTTTCCTCAGTCACTTTGGTTGCTCTTGACTAGGTCGCTTTAAACCTTTAATAGCGGGGCTACAGAAATGGTACAACAAGTAGGGCTCTTGCTTTGCATGGAGCCCACCCATGTTCAATCTCTGGCATCCCTCATGTCCCCAGAGCACTGCCTGGAGTGATTCCTGAATGCAGAATCCAGGAATAACTCCTGAGCATCAAAACCAAACACCATGCAAATGCAAATAAACCCTTAATGGCCTTTTGAGGCATACAGGAAAAAGTAGACCATCTGGACATATCTCAAACTGAGTATTTTTGGGGGAGGGAGATGGGGGCACAGCCATCAGTGTTCAGGGCTTATTCCAGGCTCTGCACTCAGTGATTACTCCTGGTTGGTCTGATCCATATGGGATTCTGGAGATCAAACTCAAGTTGGCCATGTGCAAAGTTAGCGCTCTAACTGGCTGAACTATCTCTCTGTCCCTCAGATATATCTTACTTTGCAGCATATATGGTTGAATGACATAGTTGCAAAGTTAACAATGCTTTAAATGCTCCCATTTTGAAAAATGTACACGTTGTGTGTTTGCCTATGTTTTATGAATTTGGACAAGGGATAGGGAGGAAGCAGACTGTTAATTTTGTCAGTTTCTGGGAGGTGAAATTGGAAATGAGGTTGCAAAAAGTTTGTATCTAATTTTAGATTGCATCTCTGTGCTGCAGAGAGCACTCACCTTTGTATGATGCAAACAAATTTATATAAAATTTTAATAATGGTTATTTTGGTAGGAATATTGTACTTTAGGGGGAAAATATTCTTTACATTTTTCTAGTCTAAAGATTTATAATAAACACATACTTTTATAAATAAAATTAAACAATTTTATTACTTCTACTATTGTAAATGACATTCTAAAACCTAAAAAGTAAATGTCTCTTTAAAATCATACACTTTTCCCACCAGAATGGTTACCACTGGTAATTGTTGTATTCATATCCTTACTAAAATAAGTCTTTTAAGATACTGAATTTTACTGCGTAATCATTGTCATGACACAATCATTGTACCCTGTTTTAAAGTAGTCCTGTGTCAAAATGCTGCTCATAATGGTCACACCCCACTTTTTTGCATAAATAACTAATATGGCATAAAATCTGTGATGTTTTTGCAGTGAAATGAGGTAGCCATAGCAAAGAACTGGCAGCTTCTCAAATGAAGCTTCCTTTCACCTCCTAGCATATACCAGGCTGCTTTATCAGCAAATAGCCACTTAGCTCTTATTTTTTCCCGCCTGCATCCTCAACTATTAATCTTCTAGTTTCTATTCCCTTTCATTGCACTGCTCAAGAGTTTTTCCCTTTCATTAAACAATTTTTTAAAAATTTTTATTAGTGAAACACCATGAGGAACAATTGTAGATTTACAAATTTTTGTGCTTGGGTTTCAGTTATACAATGACCAAGTACCCACCCCTCCACCAGTGCCCATTATCCGCTACCACTAATCCCAGTATCCCTCCCACCCCCCATCCCACCCTGTTATTAAACAATTTTATGTTTTCTTTTCTTTTGGGTGTGGTGGTGCTGGGCCACAACTGATGATGTGGAGTTATACCTGGCTCTGAATTTAGGAGTCACCCCTAGCAGATTTGGCAGAACCATATGTGGTTTAGAGATTGAACTGTACTTGTCTGCATGAAAGGTAAACACGTTAACCCATTTACTATTTCTCTAGTTCCTTTTTTTGAAGGAGTGTTAAGTTGATCTTGATTTCCCCAAAACACTCTAAGCTAGTTTGAATTGTACCTCCTTTTCTGTGTCACAGTGATGGCTTGTGCATGACAGGTAAGGTGTTATACTTTTTACGCTGTATTAGAATTTATGATTTTCTAATCTCCCCCATTAACTGGACATCCTTGAGTGCAAGGTGGGGGTTTAATTTCCATGTTTTCACTCAATAAACTAATTCTGGAATAAATAGAATTCCTTCCATTATTAAGGTGAGCCAGGTTATCTTTTACAGAGAGTTCTACTTTCTTTCATATCTGAAATGTGTTTTCTCCACACAGACTGATTTTCTGCCACTTCACATATTCATATGGTAAAGACCTTGCTTCAGTATTGGAAACCAGCCAGTGTCTGGCAGAGTTGGAATTTACAAAATGTACCCTGGAAGATTCAGCAATGCAGTTTTTGTGTGGAGGATATAAACAGTCTAACTCTTCCTTGCAGATAGTAAGGTAACATAGCAAATTTGTTGTCTGTATATATGTGGCTTTTGTCAGTTTCTATTTTTGCAGTGGGAGAATATGATTGAGGTATTGAGGCCATTCTTTTGTTCCCTGAAGGATGTACCGATGCTTTGTCTCTACTGCTTCTTGTGGAATGCTAGCGGCTTTTGTCAGCAGAAGTGAGTGGCTCACAGAGTTGGAACTGAGTGAGACAAAACTGGAAGTTACAGCTTTGAAATTGCTCTTTGAAGGCTTAAAAGCTCCCACTTGCAAATTACAGAAGTTCAGGTAAGTTTTGACTTAGTTTCCATATTGCAAGAAAAGTTTAAAGCATGCAAGTAAAGATGGATGTCAGTTGATCAAAACACATTTTGAGAATCAAAGGAGAGAAAGAATAATACAAAAAACCTGAAGTTGTTCCTCTGTAGCTAGTTTAAGATGACAGTTTCATTGGAAATGGCATTAACATCAATGACAGTAGCTTATGGAGCAGTTATTTTTGTTATTTTCTTTAATTTGCACAACAGCTCTGAGAGGTTTCTCGAATTAATTTCTTTGAACAATAAGAGTAAGAGATCCAGCATCACAATACCAAAAAACATGGCAAAGGTGCATTTTAAAACTTAATGTGTCTGATTTCAAAGTCCATTATAAAATTATGAATTAAAAAATTTACCACATATGTATTGGTGAGGTTCTCCTGAGAAACAAAACCAATAGATTGTGTGCAAATTTATAGTGAGATTTATTTTAAGTAATTGGCTCATGAGGATTAAGGTAGCTCTCAAGTTCAGGTTCTGCAGGTTTTGTTACCAGACTGGCAAGAGAAATTATACTTCTCAATTGATTAGGTGAGGTCCACCCACCCTCATTCACTGTATCACTGTCATCCCACGTTCATCGATTTACTTGAGCAGGCACCAGTAACATCTCCATTCATCCCAGCCACGAGATTTTAGCAGCCTCTCCTTACTCGTCTTTCCCAATGCTACCATACTGGAGGCTCTTTTAGGGTCAGGGGAATGAAACCTGTTATTGTCACTGTTTTTGGCATATCGAATATGCCAAGGGTATCCTGCCAGGCTCTGCCGTGTGGGCGGGATACTCTTGGTAGTTTACTGGGCTCTCTGGGAGGCATACACACACACACACACACACACACACACACACATATATATATATTTCCTTCTATGATTTATTGCCTACTGTCTGAACCCCATCAAATATGGTGTGGTAATTATGAAAAATGGGTAGACAATGTCTTATGATGTGTCACATGGCCGCTTTCGTGGCCACGTCTTCCAGGAATATGTTCACTTATATGTGAGGCTCAATCCGAGCATGTGGGAAGTGGCCTGGAGAGTGGCAGCGGTTGGGTAGTGGAAGTCGGCTGCTGGGACTGGGTCTCTTGTGGCGGGGAGGACTCTCACCCACCCCACTCTGCGGCACCCCGAGTGAAACCAGCCTGACTCAGAGTCCGGTGGCATGGTTATGGGGGCCTCATTTTAAGCTCCCTTTAGGGAGAAGCAGCCATGAGTTCTGGAGGGTGGCAATGAGAAGATTATCTCGTGCTGGCAGGTGGTGTCTTATGGGTATGACCCTTGGGTCGCCGGAGACTGGGGGAAGCATGCAGAAGATCTCTGCTCCCGGGTCCTCTTGAGCCCAGAGTCCAAGGTCACAAAGTTCTGCATTTCCTGGGTTCTGTGGGACTTCACTCATGTGTGAGGCTTAAAATGAGGCTCCCATAACCATGCCACCAGACTCAACCCTCATTAAAGGAAGTAGTCTATTTTATGTACTTACATACTTATTTTTGTTTGGGAGCCACAGCTGGCAGTACTCAGGGCTTATTCCTAGTTCTGCACTCAGGAATCTCTCCTGGTAGTGCTTGTAGGACCATATGGGGTTTCAGGGATCAGACACAGGTTTGTTGCATGCAAGGCAAACACCCTACCCATTATACTGTTGTTTTAGCCCCAAGTAATGTACTTTATCCAAAGTTTACTAATTTAAACATTAATTTCATCTGAAAAGAAAATTATAAGTTTGACCAATTTTCTGGGTAGCAATATCTTAGTTTCCTAAGGTAAAAATCTCTTGAGCATTGAAACTTTCTAAAACTCACTTTGAAGCTTTCTTTTCAAAAGAGCTCTATTTAAAATACAAAATTGCAGGGACCTAAGAGATAATAAGGCTCTTACCTTGCATATGGCCATCCCTGGTTCAATACCCAGTATCACATATGATCTCCCAAGCACTGCCTGAGTGATCCTGATACTGCACGACAAACAGAATAATAAGGCAACTATTTCTGTCTTTGTTCTTTCTCCTTTCTCTTCAGCTTGAATGGCAGCCTTCATCCTGAGACCTCAGAGACTGTTTGCGAGTATCTCTCATCTGTTCTCATTTGCAACACCTATCTCATTGAGCTGAACCTGAGTGAAAACCCCCTGGGGGACACAGCGGTGAAGTATCTTTGTGAGGGTCTTAAACACCCCAACTGCAGTTTAGAGATATTAGAGTAAGTTTCATTTAGGACTGTGGAATTTGTTCAATGCCTGCTCTATCCAGGATCTACACTTGAGGCTTGCAAGAAGTTATTTCACCTTGTTTGTGTGCATGTGTTTTTGTGTTTTGTTTTTGGATCACACAAACTGGTGCTCAGGGCTTACTTCTTGCTCTTCATTGAGATCACTCTTAGTGTTCTTGGGGGACCATATAGGTTGCTATGGGTAGAGCCCAGATCAGCCACGTGCAAGGCAAACAGCTTACTCATTGTATTATCTCTCCAGCCCTGAAGTTATTTTGCCCTTTCTACACCTCAAAAAAGCACATGATTTAGGTTTTTGTGGCTTCATTATATGGAAACTGAGGGTTCTGGGCAAAAAAATGACATGTGGGAGGTCAGACCACTAAGAAGTATTATTTGATATGACTCAAAATATCTATGTCTCCAAATTTCATGCATTTCCATTACATGACAGTTCTGTGTGATTACAAGTATGACATTAATTAAATATGAAACCTAAGTCACTTTTCTTGCATGTGGCCAACCTGGTTCAATCTCCCACACCGCATATGGTCCCCTTAGTCCTGCTAGGAGTGATCTCTGATCATTGCTGGGTGTGACCCTAAAATAACAACAACAACTAAACGATGCCTGTAGAGCAATGTTCTTCAACACCTGGTCCACAGAGATCAAAAGGTTGAAGACCATCCCCCTAGTGCCTTGATTATAACTGCTGGTTGACTGTGAACCAGTATGCAGGAAGGGTGCAATCTGCATGTGTGAAAGGTTGAAGAGTGCTGCTGCAAATAATACCTACTATGTACCCAATACTGGGATAAGTGGGGGTGGAGTTACCAGAAGGATTGTAAGTGACAAGGCTGCCTTAAAGACACACAGATAGGAAACCATTGATAAGTGGCACAGTTCATTGTAATCAAGCATCCAAAACTGTAGAACATTTTGCAATGCCAGATGAGCTCAGAGAAAGGTAAGAGGTCACTCAGGACTGAGGAATATCAAGAGAAAGCTCTATGGAAGAGGTGGATTGGGAGTTGTAACTTGAGGGCTGTCAGGAACTTAGCTGAATTGGGAAGGCTGGGAGAATATTCCTTGGAAATGAAATGACAGCAGTAGCTGATTTTTCTCTCTTTTTCTCCGAGTAGCTTGAGCACATGTCTTCTCACAGATGCTAGCTGTCTGGATATTTCTTCTTTTCTGCAAGTAAATAAGACTTTAAGAGAGCTGTTTCTGTTCTCCAATACCCTGGGAGACACAGGAGTACAGTATCTCTGTGAACCGCTGAAGCATCCGGATTGTAAACTTGAGAATCTTGTGTAAGTTCTGCTCACCTTTGTCCCTCTCATGGGTTTTGGTACTGGTGACTCAGTGGCATTCCCACAACCATGAATAACTGTCACGTTGGTTTCCCTCACTGTTCCAGATTATCTGAATGCTCCCTCTCTGCGGCATGCTGCGAGGCCCTCGCCCAAGTCCTGAGCTCCAGTAAGAATCTCACCAGGCTGCTTCTTATTAATAACAAAATTGAAGATTCTGGAGTGAAATTGTTGTGTGAAGGATTAAAACAGCCTGACTGTCAGTTAAAGAACCTGGGGTAAGTAGTGGATTTTAGCTGCAGGCATGTTTTCGATGTTTCAGAAACTCCCCAAGTTAAATGACTAATTTTTGGCCTGGTCACTGAATCTCTTCATTTCATTTCATTTCATCATCCTGTTATTCGTCGATTGCCTCGAGCAGGCCCCAGTAACGTCCCTTTCATCCTAGCCCTGAGATTATATTCAAGGCTCTTTAGGAGAATGAGACCCATCATTGTTACTGGTATTTGGCATATTTGGTACGCCACGGGGAGTTTGCCAGACTCTGCCCTGTGGGCAGGCTACATTCAATAGCCTGCAAGTTTGTCCAAAGTAGGAATGAGACAATAAGATGTCATAAAAAAAAGTTCTGATAAGATGTCACGCGGCCGCAAATGCGGCCGCGCGTTTCGGGGATCTGGATTTTATAGTCTCTGAGTCTTGGCCGCTGATGGGATTACACGGCGCCAGGGGGCCAGGTGGTGGGTGTGACCCCCGCCTACTGGAATTTGGAGGATCTGGGTGGAAGATGCTCGACTCCAATCCGAGTAGGCTTGGAGGTCTCGGCCCCGGAACCCGCGTGGCTTTGTCCCTCTGCCAGTACCTTCATGTGTGCGGAGAGTGATCTCAGCATGGTGGTGGCTGGTCCTGGAGGTCTTCGGCTGCCGGAGCCCTGGTCGGGGCGGGGAGGAAAGCTCAGCCCACTCCCCTCCAAGGGGCCCCGGGAAGGAACACCCAGGCGCGGGGGCAGAAGACTGCACTGTTCTCGTCCGGGATCTGGATTTTATTTATTTTCACTGAATCTCTTAGTAAGCAGTAAATGAAGAAACAAGTAATTTGAAGAGAATAAATCTTCCCTTCTCCACAATCTCTGCTTTTTACTATCCCAACAAATTTTTATGTAGTTAACATTCTGAATGCTTTTCTGTCGGGGGGAAGAGAATGGGGAAAGTCTCCTAAATAATGCTCAGCCTAAGAAATCTAGGGAATTTCTAGAGAGGGCCTGAAGATGTGATGATTCTCAGGTCTCACTTCTTGGATACTGCCTGAGCTACCCCAGTGGTGCTTGGGGGCAACCATATGATGACAGAATCAAACTAGGCTCAACGGCATGTAAGGCATGTGCCTTAACCCCTGTATTATCTCTCCAGACCCAGACCTCTGATTTTGAAATTTGGGTGACTTCCAAGCAGTGCTCAGGTATTCAGTGCAAGAACCTGAAAGATGCAATGATGCTTAATCCCTGTGGTCGTGGCGATTACCTAGACTACCATGCAAGTTCTGGTGCTTCCAGGGTTGTACCCTGCAATGTTGTTATGACCTATGATGCTGGGTATCAGTCTCATGGTAGGCATGCACACTAACCACTGTACTCTCTTCCAGCCCTTAATGCTCTTATGTTTTCCTAGTGGGTGGACACAGTACCAGTGATTCATGCCAATCTCCCCTACCTTATTTCCTGGCAGATTGTGGACCTGTAGCCTTAGAGGAGAGTGTTGTGAGGATCTATCCAATGCATTCTACACCAATGAACACCTAATAGAACTTGACCTCACTGACAATGCCTTGGGGGACAAGGCCATGCAGATGCTTTGTGAAGGTCTGAAACACCCTTCCTGTAAACTGCAGACTTTGTGGTAAGCAAGTAGGGATTCCTCTTCCACTGGGCTCACATTCTAGGCAGTACACTAAATGGAGCATTTTGTGAATGTTGGGGTAAAACCGAATTTTTCCTTCAATCTCCTATTCCCTCTCCAATTCCCCAGGTTAGCAAACTGTCAGCTAACAGATAATTGCTGTGAAGCCCTTGCTGCTGCCCTCCTTGAAAATGAGAACCTGATATCACTGGACTTATGTGGAAATGACATTAAGGATTTTGGAGTACAGATACTGTGTGATGCGGTGATTCATCCCACCTGCAACCTAAAGACATTATCGTAAGTTGCAGTGGTTGGGGTAAGCAGTGGGGAGTCAAGAAAGGCATGTTGGGTTTGATCATTGCCTGTGCAGTGAGGAAGTAGAAAAATTGCAGGGAAGCCATGCCTAGGGAAAATGTCAAAGTAAGTTCGATTGCCAGTAGGACCCAGTGGCAAGAAGAGAGGCAGAGAACAGGCAGAACTGGATCTTATTGCCAAAAGAAGCAGTGTGATGTAGGACAAAGGAGCACTATATTCAGTAAGGTCTAGCTTTAGTGGTAAGTATAGTATCTAATAGTGATTTCTTATTACTTACCTTTCCTTGAACTTCAGGCAGTAAAAAGGAGCTAATGCCCATACCTGACTGTCCAGTGTTAGTATGAAGGGAGACATTAAGAATGTACCTAGTTCAACTCTTGGCCCATAGGAAGAACCCTTAAATATTATTAACATTTTCCTAATACTGGCTAGAGGATATAATGTTTGCAGTATAAGAGTCTTCAAGATTCAAGAGGATGAAACTGTAATGGTGCAATTACTAAAAGTGGGGGACACTTTCTTGTCACTGTTCATCTGCCAGCTCAGCACGTTGGCATGATAGACAAAGTAGTTCTTAATTAGGATACAGCTATATTCTGTTGGCAGATCACCAGTGACCAAATGGTCATTCATATCTGGCGTTCAGAACTGGAACTCAAGATGGAAAATAAAGGCTGGGTGCAAAAATTCCACATACTGAAGCCAATTTTAGGGACTGAATAGTAAATGAAAACAGTATAAAGGCCTGATTACAAATCTGGCTGAAATGGAAGCTTGTTCTCTAATAACAAACTGAACTTCATTTCAGAGGCTCTGGAGTATAGTGATTGTTGTCCAGAAAGAGGGCACAATATGATAAGCCTAAGGAGCCCACCATGGTTTCTTTCTTGGCAAAAGGTTTCTGAAGTCTTTATGGTGCACAATTTGAAATAATCCCATTGTTTCTCTGAGTAGAGAAATTTAATATGATGGTTATTTTATTTTATTGCTTTGGGGACCACACTGGGCTATATCAAGACTTACTCCTGACTGTGCTCAAGATCATTTTTGGCTGTGTTAAGAGGACCATACACCATTGCTGGGGATCAAACCGGGGATGGTCACATAAACTATGGTCACCTGTACTGTTCTCCAGCTGCTGTGTAATGCTTTATAGTGCATGTGCTGCACCAAAGGTCCTGAATAACAGCAAAGAGAAATTATTTTGCTGGTGATGCCATATGGGGCTGGAGCGATAGCACAGCAGTAGGGCGTTTGCCTTGCACACAGCCAGCCCGGCCAAGCCGGGTTCGATTCCTCCACCCCTCTCGGAGAGCCCGGCAAGCTACCCATGATGTATTCAATATGCCAAACACAGTAACAGCAAGTCTCAAAATGGAGACATTACTGGGCCCGCTCGAGCAAATCGATGAACAATGGGAGGACAGAGTTTTTGTTTGTTTTGTGATGCCATAGCATTATGTATTTGTTGTAAAGAGTCTCACTATTTCCTGTTTCTCTCACTGTTTTTTAACTAATATACTAACATTCTGCTTTCAGGCCAGCCTTCAGACTTGTTAATCAGCAGGTTGATAGCAGTGTGCACTCATGGAAAATGCAAAAGAAAACACACACACATACACAGAGAATAGACAGTTCGCTGTTCTTACATTTTTTTATGCTAGCATTTCTAGGACAAGGAACTCTGAAATCAATAGAAATATATACTTTGCAAGGAAGGTGAGAGGAAATTATTTAATATGATGGTGGGTGGAGAGGGACTATTTCTGGAATACCTCCCAAAGGATGGACTCTTTGAGAGCTGTTTGAGTGCAAGGGCTGAAATTTATTCCTCATTGTATTTTCTCAGATAAACTTCTGGGCTCATTAATTTGTATAGTATAGGAAACACTTAAGGAAGATCAGTTAGTAATTTAGAGCAACCGAGGCAAAGCAAAGGACATTTAATGATATGTGGGGTTGTAGCTGGAGAGAATTGGGAAATTACGGGAAAGGAGGAGTTTTTTTTTTCTTTTGGGCTTTGTTTAGAGATAGGGAACTTTGTTTATTTTTAGTTTTTTTTTTATTGAGTCACCGTGAGATACACAGTTACAAAGCTGTTCGTGATTGGGTTTCTTTCATACAATCATTCAACACCCATCCCCCCACCAGTGAACATTTTCCATCACCAATGACCCCAGTTTCCCTCCCATCCCCCTCCCCCAGCCTGCCTCTATGGCTCTATGACAGGAACTTTCCTTGTCTCCCTCCTTTCCCCCCCACCTCTCTCTCCTTCCGGGCACTATGATCTGCAACACAGACACTGAGAGGTTTTCATATTTGTTCCTTTACCTACTTTCAGCATGCTGTTCCTATCCAGAGTGATCATTTCCAACTATCTTTGTCATAATGATCCCTTCTCTATTCCAACTGCCTTCTCCCTCAGCACTTAAGGCAGGTTTCCAGCCATCAATTAATCCTCCTTGCCCTGGTGTCTACTGTCCTTGGGTATTAGTCTCATGTCTCATATTATGATTTCTATATTCCACAAATAAGTGCAATCATTCTGTGTCTGTCCTTTTCCTTCTGACTCATTTCACTTATCATGATACTCTGAGATAGGGAAATTTGGAGAGAGAGGGAGAGCAGGAAAGATAAGAGAGAGGGAGAGAGAGTGATTGCAGATAAAGCAGTAAGAACTATTGAACAAATGCAAGTGGGACCTTGGACTAGATGGGAAGGGGCAGGAGGAAGTTAATCATTGTCTCTCCTGAGACCTATAACAGGAGCTGCAGCTGCAGGAGGAGGTAGACAGCTGACTGGATGAAGGGCAGAGCAGGTTATGGACCATTGTGTTGTCACATAGCATGTGTGTTTTACCATGCGGAAAAATTACTAAAGGCCTCTGCCCACTTGACTTAACACAAGATTCTTTTCATTTTCCACAGCGTTGACACAGATCATCTGAATGAAGAAACAGTGCAAAAGATGGAAGCTTTAAAAATAAGCAAGCCTGGATTCACCTGGTAGTTTCCAAATCAAGCCTGTGTTCAACTGCAGATTAAGTACCCCCCACCCCCACCCTGTAGCCCTATCATTAACACTTGCCCAAAATTCTTGTTCCAACCCTGTTACCCTTTGCTTAGAACACTAATATGAAGCAAGGAAGTGATTCTTTCTCTCTTTTTCTTTCTTTCTTTCTTTCTTTCTTTCTTTCTTTCTTTCTTTCTTCTCTCTCTCAGAAAGTCTTATTGTTCTGGATTCAGACTTAGATATAGAAACTCTCAAAGAAGACAGTCTCCATCTCTTGGCTGTCTGGTCTTGGTGTCTCTTTTGACTTCTACTAGTTGCCAAAAGTTGAGCGTACTCTGTGGTCTCTTTGTTTTCGTGGTATTCTGTTTCTTCATAGAACAATCCGCTTAGTAGGATGTAAATGGCCTTCAATAATAAGTACCTTGCAGTCGTATATTAGGTTGCAGTGCCTACCATGTTTTCACGAAAGGCCTTGAAGGTGAAAGGTGAGATTTAGAGAGGTTGGGAGTAGCTCCAGGTCACACATTGGTGGGGGAGCTAGGATTGGAATGTAATCAGGTGTCCAATAACCTAGACCAGGCAGGGAGATAATTTTTAAAAGACCTAATGAGGCCACTTGGAAGAAGCAAGGTTCTTAAAGTGATTCAAGGACAAGACTGTATACAAATACTTTGAGCCCATGATGCTGATTTTAAGCAAAGCTGTCATTTGAGAATGAAAGAATTAGCTATCTTAATAGATAAAGGCTTCATGGAGGGGAAGCTTGCATGCAAACCTTGAGAATAAACAGAATAGAGATGGGGGACTCGCAGCCACTGCAGGGCAATCGAGGTATCACTAAAAACTGCTAGGGAGAGAGTAACGTGTGTTAGAGTTTTTGGAACTGCCACAGTATTCATGTATTTGGCTCTTGAGTATGCTCTTCAGCTCCCAGCCACAGTTCCCTTTCTAAGCTTTTACTAACTCCCATAATGTGTGTACTTGTTTAGGAGACATCTATGGTTGACTCACTTTTCATCTTAGACGGCATCTTGACCAAATTAGACCCTATAAATCCTAGTGTTTTGACTCTGCCTACCTTTCCTAAAATACCAGATAACAAGTGGATAAAGGAAGTATGAGCATGGAAAGTCGCAGAGTCTGAGATAGGTATGAATGTGGTGCAGAATCCCAGAAGGTGGGTGTGACCTGATGAAAGTGTCGAGTTGTCTGGAAGCAACATGACTAGCTGTGGGACCCTGAATAAGTCACTGGCTTCTTGGAACCTCGGTTCTACTCATCTCTAAAACAGGAAAAAATGGCATTAACTTTGCTGAACTGTTGCTCCTGACATAGTACACGAAGTAATGGTAGTTATTTGTAAGTATGTTGCTGCAATATAGTTCAGTTGTGTGTCTTTGCACACCCAGATTTTCTTGCTGTGTGGTCAGTGTACCTTGTGTATTTGCACTAAATGTGTATGGTGGAGGCAGTGCATCTAGTGGGTGGAGAGGACACACTTAATAGGAAACTTAGTGAGCTGGCCAGCTGCTCCATACTCTGTCAGCGTGTCTTGTTCCTGTTGCCCTGGGATTCGATAATTCTTAGTAAAGACACCGAGCCTGGCCTGAGAATGATCTGAACAGCAGTTTGTTTCCAATTTTTGCAAGGTTTTCCTTCCCACTAGTTATTTAATATTTATTGAGTATTTATTATGTGCCAGGTTTTGTGTTGTGTTTGCTTTGCAGTGATGAATTTGCCTTTTCCCATGCATTTTCCCTACCATGTTCCCTGACTGTCCTTTGATAAACATCTAACAAAACCCAGTCATATTAAGAACCAGGATGTAATAGTAAATGAAAAATTGCAAAACTTTGTGTATGTATACTGTTTGTGTACAAAGGGATATACACACATGTGTATATATGGAGAGGCATATACTAGAAATGCTAACAGTGATTACAAGAGGCAAGAGGAATTTGGCAAGTGTGAGTGGTAGAAGAAGAGGAAATGAACTTTCACTTTCATCTACAGCCCTATGATCTTGATGCCTTTATATGTGCATATTTTACTTTTGTAATTAATAAAGCTTGTGTGAAAAATAGAACTCAGTTGTGCTGATTATTTTTTCTTTTGGAACTTAATCTAGAAGAAAATATAAGGAAAGCATTTATTTTAAATTTTGGGGGACCACATCTGGCAGTGAGTGCTCAGAGCTTACTTCTGGTTCCATGTTTAAGGATTATCCCTGGCCCTGGTTAGGGCCATATGGCATCCAGGAATTAAACCTGGGTCAGCTGCTTGCAAGGCAAGGGCCTTACCCACTGTACTATTTCTCAGGACCAAGGCAACCTTTTATAAACATAAAAGCCCAATGCAAAAGCTAACAGAAGCCAGAGAGATAGTACAATATGTAGGGTGCTTTCTTGCGTGTGTCTGATGAGGGTTTGAACCCTGCCATCCCATATGTTCCCCTAAGCACTGCCAGAAGTAATTCCTGAGTGCAGAGCTTGAGTAATCCCTGAACAGGTGTGGCTCAAGAGGAAAAAAGAAAAAGTAAAAGCATAACGATTGACATTAAAATTAAAAGTTGTCCAAGTGAAATGATTCAGAAAGAGAGGGACAGACAGAAGGACTGCACTCATTTGTGGAGTATAAAACAACATAACATGAGGCTGACACCTTAGGATAGTAGACACGGGACAGATAGATTGCTCCATAGCTGGAAGCCTGCCTCATGAGCAAAAGGGAGAAGGCAGCTGGAATAGAGAAGGAATCACTAAGAAAAAGATGGCTGGAGGAATCGGTTGGGATGAGAGATGTATGCAGAAAGTAGATGAAGGAACAAACATAACTTCTCAGGGTCCGTATTGCAACCATAATGCCCAAAAGTAGAAAGAGATTATGGGGAATATTGTCTGCCATGGAGGCAGGGGAAGGGTGGGAAAGGAGATACTGGGAATATTGGTAGTGGGGAATGTGCTCTGGTGGAGGGATGGGTATTTGTGTGATTGTAACCTAAACATGAAAGCTTGTAACTATCTCACGGTGATTCAATAAAATTTTAAATATTTAAAGTTCTCCTTGTATGTGGCTAACCTGGGTTTGATTCCCAGCATCCCCTATGGTCCCCTGAGGACCACCAGGAGTTATTCCTGAAAGCAGAACCAGGAGTAACCCCTGTGCATTGCCGGGTGTGACCCAAAAAGCTAAAAAAATTAAAATTTTTCTATAAAAAACATCACTGTATCCCTGTCATCCAGTTGTTCATCGATTGCCTCGAGCAGGCTCCAGTAATGTCTCCTTCATCCTAGCCCTGAGATATTAAAAAGTGCCACATTCGAGGCTCTTTCACGGTCAGGAGAATGAGACCCATCATTGTTACTGATTTTTGGCATATTGAATATGCCATGGGGAATTTGCCAGACTCTGCCATGTGGGCAGAATACTTTTGGTAGCCAGCCAGATTCTCCAGAGTAAGAACTAGATAAAAAGATGTCGTGAGGCCACATTTGCTGCCGCATGCTTCTGAGAGCAGGCTTTTATAGTCTCTGGGTCCTGGTCATTGATGGGATTACACGGCACCAGGGGGCAGTTGGTGGGTGTAATGCCTACATACTGGAAGATGGGGGATCTGGGTGGAGGAGGCCCCAGTCTCAATCTGAGCAGGCTTGGAGATCTATGCCCTGGGTCCCGCACACCTGGGTTCTTCTTCCGGTTCCTTCATGCATAAGGCTCGTCCAAACATGTGAGAGTGGTCTTAAGCATGGGTGTGGCTGGAACAAGAGGTCTTCAACTGCCGGGGCTCTGCTCGGGGTGGGGAGGGAAACTCAACCCACCCTCCTCCAAGGGGCCCCCGGTGAGGACAGCCAGATGCAGAGGCAGGAGACTCTGAGCTGTTCTCTTCCGGGAGCGATAACACAGCAGGTAGGGCATTTGCCTTACATAAAAAACAATTATGAAATAAATTTTTCATACTATAAATCAAAATTTAACTTTAAAAAAACAAAGCATACTCTTGTGGTGATGTAGATTGAACCAAAGGTCTCACACATGTTGTATACCATCCATATCCCTGGACCAAAACATGAGGGCTTTCAATTTCTACAACAATGAAGTAGCAATAAATGGGTTTGTTTGCCCTATCACTTTCTCAAAAAAAATAAAATAGACAAAAAACATGGTATTGTTCGTTTTGACATTTCTTAGGGGGCGACCATACCAGGCAAATTTCAGAATCTACTCCCAGTAGTGCTCGGGAGACCATGTGGTGCCAAGGATTGAACTGGGGTTGGTCACATACAAGGCAAGTTTCCTTAACATCTCTCTATAACTCTCTAACTAGATAAAATACATGAAATGACATTTTTTTTAAGTTTTGCTTAATGGAGATGAGATAAATGAAGCAGAACTATATGTATTTTCCCCCTGCCATGCTGCCATAGAAACCAGATGACATGCATGCAAGATATGTACTTTACCACTGCACCACAATCTTGTCCTCAATAACCATTATTAAAGACCGTGCTCCGCCCTCTCCTCTCTGGAAAGAAAGATGGCGGCCACATGGGAGCCTTGTGGATAGCAAGTATGAGACGGGGGAGTGGGGGCGACTAAAACCTCATGGGTCGGGGGGCGTTCCGGTCCGTCCTTCACGCCCTACCGAGGTCACCAGTTGCCCCCCGCGAGCGGCTCTCCAGCACGGCCATGGCCCCAGAAGCACAAGGACTTAATGCAGAACCCAGCAGCTTGGAGCAGAAAAGTGAACGGACTATGCGTTGATCCAGCCCATCAAGTCTGCCGGAGGGGAAAGGGTGTTGCCCCATTCGCCCTCTCCTCTCTGGAAAGAAAGATGGCGGCCACATGGGAGCCTTGTGGACAGCAGGTATGAGCCGGGAGTGTGGGGGCGACTAAAACCTCATGGGAAGGGGGGCGTTTCGCTCTGCCCTTCACGCCCTACCGAGGCCACCAGTTGCCCCCCACGAGCGGCTCTCCAGCACGGCCACGACTCCAGAACACAGAAACCAATTTCTTAACTATCTGACTTTCAGTAGAAATACTTCCAGGGTCAATAGGTAAAATAGCAGAAATCCAAAACCAACATTTAATTCTTGAACCCAGCTGTAGAAAGCAAATCACTTCACAATGCTTTTTCAGCATGTCTGATTTGGGGGGGGGGGTAAACTCTAAATAATAGTGGTGAATCTTTTATTGAAACAATCTAATCAAAGCGGATAGAGTGTTAACTAGAATTCATCTGCCTCACAGGGACGGGGAGGGGTGGGGGGTGGGGCTTTATTGGGGTTCTTCATGGGAAAAAATAAGTATTGGTAAAGGGAAATGTGTTTGATATTTGCATGACTGAGACATAAACCTGAAAGCTTTGTAACCTTTCCCCCAGTGATTCAATAAAAAAAAAAAAAAAGACCGTGCTCTCAGAGCAATTAAGTGGCTGATACTTGTATAAAGAGGTAAAGAGCCAACCACATGCTGCCTATAGGATAGGTAAAGGCCCTCCCGTTGATCATCGATTTGCTCAAGCGGGCCCAGTAACGTCTCCATTGGAGACTTTGTTGTTACTGTGTTTGGCATATCGAATACGTCACGGGGAGCTTGCCAGGCTCTGCCGTGCGGGCAAGATACTCCCGATAGCTTGCCGGGCTCTCCGAGAGGGGCGGAGGAATCGAGCTCGGGTCGGCCATGTTGGCTGCGTGCAAGGCAAATGCCCTACCGCTGTGCTATAGGAAACCCACTTTATTTTTTGGTATTAGAATTTATTTTTTATTATTTCTTGAATATATTTTACTTTTTTTCAACTGTGGTGACTCAGGCATACAATATTCCAACACCAGAGTGCCACCTCATCCCCTTGTCAAACACGGTTCTGCAGGTCAAATCTAGTCTATCTCCAATTGCCATTTTTAATGCCTGAATTATGCTTCTGTAAGTTCTACATATGAGAGATTGTTCTGTTTTGTCCCTCTCTCCCTGAGAGACTCAACTCAACATAATGCTCTGTAGTGCCATCTGCATAGCAATAAATTGCAGGATTTTATTTTTGCTTAGAGCCAAATAGTATTCCACTATGTATACATATCAGTTTCCTTTTCCACTTATCTATTCTCAGATTATCTCCAGATCTTAGCTATTATGAATTTGTGCTACGATGAACATAGCACTGCAAATATTTTGTCAAATTATTGTTTGGGGTTTATTGGGATGGATGCCACAAAGGTGAAATCACTGGGCTCTAGGATATTCCAATTTCCATTATTTGAGAAATCTCCACACTGCTTTCCATAGAGGCTCAAGCAGGCATGTCCACCAATAAAGGATGAGGGTTCCTTTCCCCCTACATCCCTAAATTTCGACTACTTTTGATGTGTGCCAATCTCATGGATGCAAGGTAATATTGTTTTAAGTTGTATTTCCCTCATAAGTGATAAAAAGCATTTTTTCATATACCCACAATGGGCTGGAGCAATATCACAGCGGAGGGCATTTGCCTTGTGTGCGGCCGGCCCAACTGAGCCAGGTTCGATACCTCTGCCCCTCTTGGAGAGCCCGACAAGCTACCAAGAGTATCTCGCTTGCATGGCAAAGCCTGGAAAGCTACCCGTGATGTATTCAATATGCCAAACACAGTAACAACGGGTCTCACAATGGAGATTTTACTGGACCCTCTCGAGCCAATTGATGAACAACGGGAGGACAGTGCTACAGTGCTACATATACTCACTGGCCATCTTATATGCTTTTTGAGAAAGTTCTGTCAGTCTTCTTCCCCAGTTTCTGATGTACAAGAAACACATAAATGAATTAAACATAAGGTGGAGATGTAAATGTTGAGAGTTTTTTTTAAATTGGAGTGTCAATAATTAGAGGAAGTAGTCTACAAAGCAAAAGTATTCCCAGAAATAAGAGGACTGTTTTGTAATAATAAAGCAGTGAAGATATATAATTATTAAGTATACATGTATCTAAACAATAGATTAAAAATGCATCAAGAAAAAATGACTGGGCCTCAAGCAAAAATAAGTAAGTCTAAAAATGTAGTCATAGACTTCATACATTTCTTCATAATTAATAGACCAAAGAGACCAAAAC